ATGGAAGGACCCCTGCGCTCTTTACGTACAAATGGACTCTCTCTCGGCCAATGGGAGGGAAATAAAGAAAGAAAGAAAAAAAAGGGACTATTTACCTTGCCGACGTACCCGCGGACGGAAGAATCGAGACGAGCCAAGCAAAAGCGAACGAAAAAATAGAGCACAGTGGAACGCGCGCGGGGTAGAAAGAGAGATAGAGAGACAGTGAGTGAGTGTGTGAGAGAGAGAGAGAGAGAGAGCCGGTGTTCGAACAGAAAATAAACGGGCGAGCTGGTCAGAGCCGGTCGCTTTTACAATGATTTACCGTTTTCCGCGCGTGTATGGACATATGACTTCCGCTCGCCGGTCGAACCCATGACGCCTGCTTTTTCTTTTGCACACAATAAGTTCGGAATCGGAGACGTCGATTCTTCCTCCGAATGTTTACGGTATACGTACATATTACGGGGGAAATAGAATACACTCCCCCGGAAACTCGATCTTCATTCGAGGATTCCGCTGCTCTGCCGTTTCCGTTCTACTATTAATCGACGAACCAACTTTCGTTAACCCTTTGCGCCCGAGTGGTGACTCTGAGGCACCACTGTAATTTATCGTGTCACATTTTACGATAATTTTGATATTAACAGTAAACCTAACGCGGTCAAAGTGAACCCGCTTTCTGCAAAGTTCCGAGACTCTTTTGTGGAAAACGCTTGAATAAGTTGTATTATTGGAGCAAGTTTTATAATGAAAACTTGACAAATTCTAAATAAATTCGGTCTTCTCTAGGTTTAGTGTTAACAAAGTTTAGGTTTTAAAGAATTGTTAAAAGTGTAATTGTTGTTACGAGTCGCCGCAATACTCAATTGCATGTGCATAGAAGGCACTTTGTCGTACAAAATTGGTTTAGATTTACAGTTAAAATGGCTTCGAGTGCAAAGGGTTCACCCTTTGCACCCGAGTGGTGACCCTGAAGCACCACTGAAATTTATTGTGTCACATTTTACGATAATTTTGATATTAACAGTAAACCTAACGCGGTCAAAGTGACCCCGATTTCTTCTTATTTTGCAATTCTGCAAAGTTCCGAGACTCTTTCGTGGAAAACGCTAGCAAGTTTTATAATGAAAACTTGACAAATTCTAAATGAATTCGGTCTTCTCACTTTTGTGAAGCAGTACATGCCAGTTAGTAATTACTGCTTGGTAGGTTTAGTGTTAACAAAGTTTAGGTTTTAAAAAATTGTTAAAAGTGTAATTGTTGTTATGAGTCCCAACGAGTCGCAATTGTTGTTACGAGTTTCATGTGCATAGAATGCACTTTGTCGTACAAAATGGAAATACTATGAGTCAGAAAAATTGGTTTAGATTTACAGTTAAAATGGCTTCGAGTGCAAAGGGTTCACCATTAAAATTTGTTGTATCATATTATAAGATAATTATTACATTAAAAAAAGGTTTAGATTTTTTAAAAATTGTTAAAAGTGTAACCGTTGTGCAACTCGCGAGATTGAATTTCGCGTGCATAAAATGCGCTTTGTCGTATCAAATGAAAATACTATAAATCAGAAAAGATTATTTTAGATTTACAGTTAACCCTTTGCACTCGAGCGGTGACTCTGAGGCACCACTAAAATTTGTTGTACCACGTTTCAAGATAATTTTTATATTAACGAAGTTTCAATTTTAAAAAATTGTTAAGGGTGTAACACCCTAAATTGTTAAGGGTGTAACAAAGGTTTCACCCTTTGCACCCGAGTGGTGACTGTGAGGCTCCACTAAAATTTATTGCATCACGTTTCAAGATAATTTTTATATTAACAAAGTTTCGATTTTAAAAAATTGTTAAGGGTGTAACACCCTAAATTGTTAAGGGTGTAACAAAGGTTTCACCCTTTGCACCCGAGTGGTGACTGTGAGGCTCCACTAAAATTTATTGCATCACGTCCTAAGATAATTTTTATATTAACGAAGTTTCAATTTTAAAAAATTGTTAAGAGTGTAACTGTTGTCACGAGTCACCGCAATACTCAATTTCATGTGCATAGAATGCACTTTGTCATACAAAGTAGAAATACTATAAGTCAGAAAGATGATTTTATATTTTCAGTTAAAATAGCTTCGGGTGCAAAGGGTTAATATTTATACATTATATTACAATATATTGTATAATATTTATATAACTCTGCGCCTTGATTTTCAGTATTTTCGTATTTTTCATTTTTTTCAACCCTATTCACCTCTGTACACATCGGCCCTGCGACAAAATCGAGTGGTGGAATTATGTTGAACAAACTGCATAGTTGGAAAGGTTAAGAAGGGTTACGAAGACGGTGCAGTGTGAACAAGATACGCGTAGCAGAAACGATGCGGCAATTGTGACGTGAACGGAAGAATTATTTGTCGAATCGAGAAGAATATTTAATAATATACTTCATATATATATATTAACCCCTTAATGCACAGTTTTTTTGAAAAAGGCCGGCCAAAAAGAATCAATTTTTTTTAATGTAAAAAAACACAATTTAGAACGTTGCCTTGGCAAGAAAATTACAAAAATACAAAAATAATCAAAATTTTTATTGCAATTTTGGATTTTGATAACATTGCAGAAAATAGTCGAATATCGTAATATCACACGCACATCGACTTTTTTTATCTTTCTTTTCGAATTCCCATTTCAGAATAGACATTATTATCAGTAAAAATATTTATTTATACTTTTAAAACATAAATAATATCGATACTAGTATTGTAACTAGTGTAACTAATACTAGTATTGTACTAGTGTTATACTAATACTAGTATAACAATACTAGTATTAATACTAATACTAGTATTGTTATTACATTATTAAAATATAATGTAAAATAAAATATAAATAATATATATATATTATTATTTATATTTTCTTTTACATTATATTTTAGTAAAATATATATTGAAAAATGAGCGAATCAGAATCTGAATATGAATATGCTGTCGGAAAGCGGCTCACAGGGAAGAGATAAGTCGTAAGTGATAAGTAGAAAAAGCATATATTTTATACTTGAATAAGTAAGTGTTATAGCTTACAATCCCCTGTAAATGATAAATATCAATAAAACGATTGTTTTCTTTTTTTGCTTTCACATTATTATTTCCAATTCTCGATTGCATTCGAGCGTGAAAAATTATAGCAACATAAAGTACAACGCCGCTCGAATTATCTCGAGTGTGCACAGTTTGGCCAGTTCACCGCGCTCGAGTTAACTCGAGCGTGCACGTTAAGGGGTTAATAATATACAGGGTTCCCCGGAAAGAATCATCCGATTTCAAAAATTTATATTTTAAAAAGTTACACACAGAAAATTATAATTCAAACACGAATATAACGGGAAAATGTGCGAGTTTTACTTTTTATTATTTTGTTCTCATGTACCAAACCGTTGGATTGGTCGCAGTTCACCCGATAATATGGTTCTACACGGTTGGCCTCCGAGATCACCCGACCTAACCCCATGCGACTTCTTCCTTTGGGGATTTGTGAAGGATCTTGTCTTTGTACCACCTTTACCTACAAGTCTAAATGAACTGAAAAAAAACGCATTTGTGATGCCGTACAAACAACTACCAGAGATACATTACACCGTGTTTGACAAGAACTTTCATATCGCAATGATATCATACGTGTAACGGAAGGAAGTCATATCGAACACTTGTTAACAAAAACTCACACATTTTCCCGTTATATTCGTGTTTGAATTATAATTTTCTGCGCGTAATTTTTAAAAATATAAATTTTTGAAATCGGATGATTCTTCCCGGGGAACCCTGTATATTCCAGGATCAAAATTCGATCTTCCATTACATTTCCATTCGAACGCTCCCGCGTTCCTGTCATCGAGCAACTCGCGAAGCGATCGTTCACGCTCTCCTAATGAACTTCTAATCGAACGAAAAATTGCCCAATCCTACGCCGCTGCAACCACGAAGACGCTTTCGAGAGCTGCGAGGGCCGAGGCAGCTTCTCGAAATGTCCGGCAAGCGCGAGCAAAAAAACGCGCAACGCCGAGTACACGAATATCCTTGCATCGAAAAGGATGCACCGGTAGTAACACAACGGTGCCTCGCATAACGAAGCGTCCGAATTACGGAATAAGAATCGCGTGTAAACGAAACACATAAACCAGTATTTATATATTATATATATTATATTATATATATATATATATATATATATATATACTTTTCCATACTGTTTTATATTATGTTATATATTATTATATTACCTGTTTTCATACTTCAACTATAATATAATAATAATAATAATATATATATCATTATATTATAATCGAAGTATGAAAAATATAACGTTCAATAAAAAACAAAAAGTGTAAAAATTCGTTACATTCGACAAGGAATATCTTTTGACGCCCAAAGGACTCGCAGTTTCGGACAAACGCGGTACATTTTCCGCGGATACTTTCCTCTCCATAATTCTGTAAAAGTTACATACCAAGACGAACCAGATATGTAAATTCCGAATTACGAAATAAGAATCGCGCGTAAACGAAACACACATAAACCGGTCGGTCCCCGGTTCTCTGTCGCGAATATTGAAAACGCGGCGCGGAACGTACAATAAAATAAAAGAAAAGAAATGTTTACCTTGTCGATGAACCTCGGGGAGGCGGGGTTGGTTACGGAGAACGAAGTAGACGAACCAAGCAAAACGAACCAAAAGAGAAAATTCTGCACACTGACGGCGCGAAGAGAGCACGCGCGCGCGAGAGAGAGAGAGAGAGAGTGCAACGCGATGACGTCTCTCCGCGTGCGTGTACGCCTCGTCGTGTACGCGAACGCGAAAGCGAACGTGTTTTTCTTTTTTCTCTCTCTCTTGCTCGTGTGCGAGTGTAGGTGTAGGTAGAGATGCGTGCGTGTGTGTTCGCGCTTTAGTTTCCAGCGAAAAATATAAACGGGGTTCCGCGCGCGCACAGCTGATCAGAGCCGACGACGGCTCGCTACGATCGGATTTACCGTTTTCCGCGCGTGTATGGGCATATGACTTCCGGTGGGCAGTGGAAGGCGCGACGGCCGGCCTGCTTCTCTTCTCTACGGCTAGGATGATCGCGACAGAAGCTCGACGTCCGTCGCTCGGCGCACTTCCGGTGTCGCGTGGTTCGGCCCGATGCCCGTCGCTCGGTGTTCCTCCGGCCTCCTCCGGCGCCGTGTTTTCCGCCTCTCCTCGGGATTAGACGGCGGGACGCGTCATCGGTCGACGCGGGCTAATACATTCGGCGATCCGCGTCAGAGTCAATGGCATAACCGGCGGTCGGCTCGCCTTTCAGCAGCCTCGACATGTTTCCCTGGCCTTCCTCTCTTGCTCGTCCTCGATCCCGTTGCCGCGAACACTCGCTCTTCCTTTTTTCCTCTCGTTGTTCCTTTCTCCCTAATTCTCTCTCTCTCTTTATTTTTATCTTTCTTTCTTTCTATCTCTCTCTCTCTCTCTCTCCCCCTTTTCTCTATAGCCCGATGCCACTCTCGTTTCCTTTTCACCTACGGTTTTCTACCGCCGCGAACACAACTCCCGGCTCTCCCCGACGCGCGTATAACCTTCACTTTCGGAATTCTCTCGCACTTCGACGACGATTTAGCTACCGATCACTGCCCACGCGAATCCCTAACACACCGCGCGTATCGCCACGCGCTCTCCCGCGAGAATGATTCCGCCGCTGTTCCCCTTCGTTTCTTTTTTCCGCGGCGCCTGGCAGGTTAATAAATCGATCGGGAGAGAGAGAGACCGGCCCGCCGCCGGTCCGAGATCCGAGCCGACGGAATAACGGGGACGGTGGTCGGTCGCGACCTTGTTCGAACGCGCACTGGACCCGAGACACCCGAGAACCGACGCGAGAGAGAGAGATATATACGAATCGCCGACACACTGCTCCCGGGTATTATCGAGGCGAGGGCACACCTCTCCGACTCGCCGTTTTCTCTATTATCCTTCCGTGACCGTTACACCGTCCACGGGGTTGGCTTGTGTTATATCACGTACGCGTCGCACTCGCGGAGGGACCCGTGGTTTCGCACGTTCCGCGCGCGGTTTGCGGCTGCGACGACGCGCGGGTCGTTTTCGAAAAACGCGTTTAAACGATGTTTTAAAGATAACGGTGGGCGCACGTCACTCGCGCTGCAGAACCGGTCACATCGCCGAGAAGGCCGCGTTCAACGAACACTCTCGACGAAACCGATACCGATTCGAGCCGTACCGAACCGTATCGAACCGTATCGAACCGAAACGACCGACAACCGCGACGTCACGAGTCGTACTACTCGCCGTACGGCCCGTCCAGCCCGACGTACCTATCCGCGCGGCGCTGCACGCAGGACGCTCTCTCGCGAGCCGTTCCGCGACCCGAGCGCCGCCCCGGTGGCGCCGCCGGCAACCAGCAGCAGCCGCGCGCGCTCGACGGCGCGACCGGCTTTATCGACGCCGGTGCGTAATACCGTTTCTAATCAAATGCGCGCACACACACGCGCGCGCGCCCGCGCGCGCCGATGCGCTTATGCAAACCGAACGCTGTAACGCGTCCGCGCGCGGAATAAAAATCGACGATACACCGGGCCGGAATCTACGCGAGAACGGTCGAACGGCTCGCGACCGGTTATATTCGACGGGAATACGTGCTCCATTTATTTATTTGGTTTTCTGTTCCAAAAGATCGCGCCGCGTCCGGCAGATTTGAATTTCACGCCGCGGGCGTCGCGCTCGGCGATACGCTTTTTTTTCTTTTTTTTCGTTTTTATTTCGTTGTTCTTGGACGTGGAAATACCGTTGCGATCGTTGGTTCACCGTTGATCGGCGATCGTTCGAGCGATTCGGAGGCCAAGGGGTTTTTATTGTTTCCGTTGTTTAAGAGATAAGGGATGTTCGAGTGAACGAGCAGTCGTTTCAAAGGATTTTTAGGAATGTCCGATTACCGAGAAACAGACGAAATCGAGGCCATAAATGATATAATGTAAATTCTTCGATAAATTCTGCCCAATTGTTCTCGAGCTTGTAAATAAAAATATTGTATAAATATTGAACAAAATTATTAGACGAAATGTTGTATAAATATTAACCCGTTGCACTCGAAGCCACTTTAACTGTAAATCTAAATCAATTTTTCTGACCTATGGTAGTTCCATTTTATAGGACAATGTGCATTTTATGCATATGAAATTGAGTATTGTGACTCGTACAACAATTAGACTTTTAACCATTTTTCACGTCTAAACTTTTATAATATAAAAATTATATTGAATCGTGATGTAACAATTTTAGAGTCTTTTTTTCAGTAACATTTTTAGAGTCCTTTTCCAGTGCAAAGGGTTGAAACAAGGAAGACGCTACCATGTGGCTGACTTTTCTTGCAACCGATGCAGTTTTTAATTTAGATGGACAAATGCACAAACTTCGAGGATGGCGAAAATAACTATAATAAATTAAGCTATAATAAATTAAAAAATCTTGTTATGCTTGTCAGGCTTGTCAGAAGCTTGTTAACACAATCATTTCCCTTAAATCGCGCTGTCAGATAAATCCAAATAATTTCCTGAATTACGCACGAAATTATCGTCGCTTTTGCAACAATCTTTTAAGTTAAGCTCGCGACAATCGTACATCAAATTTAACACAATAGATTTACGAACCGCTAAGCGTAAGAACGACGAAACTAAATTTACTCGGACCATCCGCCATGTTTATTATAACGTACGCACGACGAATACGAAGATCGAATAATTTCCAAAGAAATTTCCAAATTTTACGAATAATTTCCTCGTAATTTTCACGATTTTTAACCCTTTGCACTCGACGCCATTTTAATTGTAAATCTAAATTAACTTTTCCGATTTATAGTATTCCAATTTTATATAATAAAGTGCATTTTATGCAAATGAAATAGAGTATTGCGGCGACTCGTAGCAACAGTTACACTTTTAACAATTTTAATTGTAAATCTAAATTAAAAAACTTTTCTGACTTATAGTATTCCAATTTTATATAAAAAAGTGCATTTTATGCAAATGAAATTAAGTCTTGCGACTCATACCACAGTTAGACTTTTAACAATCTTTTACATCTAAGCTTTGATAATGTAAAAATTATTCTGGCACGTGGCGTAACAATTTTAATGGTGCCTCAGAGTCACCACTCGAGTGCAAAGGGTTAAATGTATTCAGGAGTTGTAAAAATCGATAAAAATTAACCGTTCGATTTCCAACGATGAACGAGCATTACTAGCGTTTCTCTCAACACTTTGCACTCCGCTGTCCCCTCTCGTGGGACATCGTAATTCTAGCATATCACTCGGATGTCCTCTCTCGTGGGACATTCAAGTTTATTAGTGATTACGGGGAATTGAGTTATTTCAGCGCACCTTTTTGAGACATGCATGTTTCCCTGAAGTTTTCTCTTGAAATGGCACAAGAAATCAAATCAAAATATAGTAAAATTACTAAGATATATACAAGAAATGTCAGCGGGTTTTGACGAGAACGTGAGAGGCGTGCTCACGACGGTCCGAGCACTTCGAAGGCGCCACTTGAAAAGAGCGATAAGGCAAGTTTGTAGAAGAAAGATCGGTATGCGAACATAGCGCGCACTGTATAGTGAGATTTATAATCATAAAATCTGGAGGAAAAGATTTTCAAAGCTGAACTCGGTCTGGTTTGAAGCGTCGAACGGTATAGATAGATCTAACGAGTGAGAAAATCGGAAAAGTGATTCCTCTCTTGGTAAATAAATTGTTTGGTAAAAGTTTTTTTTGGTAAATATCATCTTGTGAGTTGGTAATAACAATTAGAAATTTTCAACCTATGTATTTATTCATATTTTTTATTAGAACAATGGCAAAACGTTCGAACACGAATGAGTCTCATGACACAAGTAGTAGCGAAGATGAGCTCCAGATAGACGTTTATACAGATATGTTAGAAATGTTACACAGAAATGTTACTACAGATATGTAGAAGGTTTTCTTCTACAGTTAGTCCATCGTTTTGATAGCAGTGATAGCGATATCGTCCGAGCAACAAGGCGACGAGAGAAAGAGTTCACATAGATAGCGATTACAACAACAAAACAAAATTATAAAAAACAAAATATTGATTTTTTTGCAAATTTCTCGATTTCAGCCAAATTCATATAAGTCCAATATCATTATAATATGTTAGTTAGTTCCAAAACTATACTAAATAATACGAGGGTCTGTGAATTCCCGTTTCTGCCGAAAAGTGGCGCCGAGTAGCTGCTAGCCAACGTTCAGAATGGTGCGGAGTGCTACGGGTTAAAAATATCACTGTCACGTAGTAAAAAAGATACGGAAAGTTCACGCTTCGTGACTTGTTCAATACTTCGAACGCGGCTCGAATCTGTCCCGACCCTTCTGTCAAAAAGCCTCGTGCTGTGTTTCTCGTTAATAACTCGTAAACAAAGCCGCAGATTGCATTGTCGCACAGGGAAAACTTACTTAGGATGACCTCGGCTACCCCAAATTTCCGTAATGCGAGACATTTTTGGGACACCCTGTAGATTGAAAAAGCATCGAATTAGTCCTCGCGGGGAAGTTGCCCTGACCGACGTCGAAGGATCATTTCGCCGACGGTTTCGTGGTATTCGTCGGTCGAGATTGGTCCCAGGGGGTTCGATCTTCTCTCTCCATCATCCCCTATTTAGCGGGAACACCTTTTGACCGGGTGACGCCGTCGCGGGCCGCCAGAGAGAGAATATCTGAATATTTATACGTTTTCGAGGCTCGTTCGTCTTCCTTTTGTTCCCATCGATTCCCCCGGAAGATAAATGAATCTCCGGCCGCAAGAAAAAGGAGGGGTTGAAATTGAGCGGTTTATTGCGACCCCTATCCCCCACCCACCCTCCCACCACCCCCGGTGCCTAATGAAACGAGCCGCGCGGAACGGACGCGCGGGTCGCGTCGTTAACACTGTATCATTTATACCGGCGTCGCGTTGTACATTTTAATTCATAGAAAGTATACGGCCGGGGCTTTTTGTTCGGCCGTGGATATTGCGGCGCGATCGCATTATGCACCTCGTTTCACCGAGGGCCACAGTGGGCGCACTTGATCGAAGATTTTAGTGACATTTCGAAAAAGAGAAACCTTGACTTTCTCGCATCGATGTCCAGTCAATTTGTATTGCTTGTTGAATGTCCATTATACCCTCGAAAGTGGAAATATTAATAAAAATAGATACGATAATTTATATAAAATTGAACATTTCGAACGCTACATTCGACGTCAAAAAATATGCTTCTTTTCCTCGCAATGTCCCGACGAACCTAATTAATGTTTTCCTTTGCTTTCTTTTTTTAACATTAGGTGGCAATGTTTCTCGTTAGGAGAACAGTAGCTTAAATTAGTGTGCTTAATACAGTAGCTTAAATTGGTATCCCAAAAATGTCTCGCAATCCGAAAGTAGGGGATTGCTGAGGTGATTCGAAGCAACTTTTTCCTTAGCGAAAATGCAATCCGCGGCTTCGTTTACGAGTTATCAACGAAAAACAGTGACCAATCAGAGGCGAGATCATTTGGCGCGAGACGGCCGAGCCAATGTGCGGAACTGGGCTCGGCGCACCCGTTGGCTGGGCCGCCGCGCGCCAGCCGAGCTCGCCTCTTATTGGTCAGTGTTTTTCGTTAATAACTCGTAAACGAAGGCTCGGAGGAAATTTTCGCAAAGGAAAAAGTTGCTTCGAATGACCTCAGGAAACTCCCATTTTCGGATTGCGAGACATTTTCGGGACATCCTGTATATTAGAGAATAAGAAAGAGTAATATATATGTATTATTATAATATAACAATACAATATAATATTATAATATATATATAATACAATATATATAATATAATAATATAATATATCATTGTATTATATTTTATTTATATTTTATATATTTTATTATTTATATTTATTATTTATTATTATTATATATATATTATATATATATATTATTATATTATAATCGAAGTATGAAAAATATAACGTTCAATAAAATACAAAAAGTGTAAAAATTCTTTAAATTCGACAAGGAATATCTTTTGACGCCCAAGGACTCACAGTTCCGGACAAACGGTATATTTTCCGCGGATACTTTCCTCTACATAATTCTGTAAAAGTTACATACCAAGACGAACCAGATTGTAAATTATTACATTTTAAACATATCAACCTTAAATTACTTCAAGGTTAAATACATCGAAGATAATCTCTCTGTGTTCCAGTCGATACTACACCCACACTGTTTACGCG